GTAACTCGCGTTACTTGTAATGCGTTACCCCCAACACTGATTGTTACTCAGTACGATTGATTGAAAACTCTAATAAAGTCCTTCAAACAAAAAATATCAAAGTTTTAAAAATGTATTCAATTTATAAATATTTGCTGGCCTGGAACTATTTTGATATTTGTATATTAGATTTTTGCTGTTTCATAAATTGTTTATTGGTTTCATAATGTTGCTTTTACTAGTTTTTTTAACTGTATAAAAATTATGTGAAAAAAACAAATGTGGATCTTAAACTCCTAATGTAAAATATAAAATTTAATTTTACAGTCTTACTAATTTCGCCAAAAATGACAATTCATGTCCATGTTAGGCTATTTGTATACTAGGCTACTATTCCAGTTCGAGCGTCAAACCTTCAGGTGTGTAGTCTTGCCTCTATCCATAAGGCGGAGTTATCCACAGGTGTGGGTCTCTGTGTGTGGACAGGTAAAGCTGAAGGTGTGTGGGAGTTTAGTTCTAACCGATTTAGTTGGTTTAGCAAAAGGACGACTTAAATACATACATTTTGATCGTGGTGCATGTGCTTTGCGGAGAGCCGGAGAGAAATTCTACGCAGCGATCGATCATATTTCAGATGTTGCAATCTCAGATACGGACCTAATAGACTAAAGTCAAAATTCTCCGGATAAAAAGGACCACATGAACATGAAGAAAACATATTCCGGTGAGTAGCCTACAGGACCACCGAAAATTTCATGTCATCAACTGACGTGAAATTTGCTCTTATAAAATAGCAGTAAGCTTTGGATCTTATCATTATGCAAAAGTGAACGCAAACTTGAAAAGTTATTTTGCGCTGTGATATCCTCTTTTCATATTTTAAACAGTCAGTTTACACATACAATATATAAGCAAATTATTAGGGGGGAAATTATAATCAATCAAATAAAGGCCTAGTAATACGTAGGCCTAATTAACCGACTGATAACGACCTCCCAAAATGTCAAATAACTAAAATGAGAATCTGCTATATTTGGCTTGTGTGCTCTGCATTTTCCATCAGGGTGAGTCATAGCCTTACTGACTTCTTTTTGTAGATAAATATGTCCAATACTTTCTGACAAACCTTTAGGGTCTTGCACAATTATTTAACCGATGGATTGTTTTCTTAAGAATTTTCTTTTTTGGTCATATGTACATCTATAATAAGGTTAGGCTATGTTTATCAACAGGAA